GCCGGTGTTGCGGTAGGTGGGGAGGCGGGGGTGGGGGGGGGGGGGGGGTTAACTGCTTCATTTTATGAGCCAGTGATGGCAGCAGGAACCATCAGTTCTTTCTAAGGCACACGGACAAAAACTGGGCAGCTCAACTCAAAACCCTCCTGGTACTCCACTGATTCACACCATCCTGACAACAGCCGCCTTCTTTCCTGTCAGACACCCCAACGATCCACTTCGGTTCAGCTCAGCTGTTATTCTGGTCAAAATGAGCCTTTTTCTGCAACATGAGGTTCTTAAAGTGCTACCTATGACAGGTAAGATATTAAATGTGTCTAATCTCTTCTTAGAGCCAAGACCCAGAAACTGAAGGAGCCCATTGTTGGTTTTTATTTGCTGCTGAACAGTTAAAATCTGTCTAATGTGCAACATGTGATTTATAATCTGCACACTTCTGTACTGAAAGTGATTTATATACTCTTTGTACAAAACATCCTGACTCAGCAGAACCCCTCAGGTCCCTGCACGTGACTGTATCAGGTTGATTTTGTTTACTCCTCTCCAGAGACCCGCCCTGCAAAATGTCTGAAACACCCCTTTAACAAGCAGCACCTTCTCAGGCTCATCTTTCATGCTTGCCGTGGACGAGGAGGACACCAGCGCCTGCTCGTACTCCTCGTCCATCGGCTCATCCTTCACTTTGGCCAAAGGAGGCGAAGGAGGAGACGACTTGATGGAGTGCGACGCAGCTTCCGGGTTCTCCTGAAACCAGAACAAAAGAAGCAAAAGATCACTTTAAACAAACGAACGTAGCGTTTTAAAGATTTAAAACCTGGAGGAGGATCAACGAGGCCACGGTGTGGACAGGAAGGAGCTACTTACAGCATCTAGACCCTGCAGGGACAGCTCCACCACCTTCATCCCGTTTAACATGGTCACCGGAGACGAGCTGTCCCTTCCTACAAACACCAGCAGAGACATCGTTACTTCAGCGCGTCAAAACATTCGGCTCATTCAGGAGACGGACGCTCGGGCTTTTCTTTTCTAAATATTTAACTTGATTCACAAAACGATCACCCAAAGAACCACACGGAGATCTCTTCAGAGCCTTCAAAACTGGATCAAATCAGCTTTAGCTACTTTATCTGTTAGCTAACCTTTTGAACTTTCAGTTTTTAGCTACATTCTGCTACTTTTCGGAGTTGGCCAGCATTTTGATACATTTATCTGAACTCTATACTTTAGCTAGCAGTTTGCTACTTTTCAGCTTCTTTCAAACTGTATAATACTTTTATACACTTTATATATTATTGTTATTTTTGGGTGTAGCTGGGACCTTGGGTTCACAATTTGTTCCACCTCGTGTACCACATGTGATGAGAATGACAAAGTCTCACTGAATCCTTGTGGAAAGATTAACTTTTAAAATACTTCCAAATAACATTATTAAATTTTTCGTGTGACGTGAGACCGATTGTTCAAAATATTTAGCTAAATGTACACCAGGAGTTTGAACGTTTTTATTTATTTCCATGGTTTGTTTGTTTGTTTGTTTGTTTCTCTGCCGTCCCGGACCCACCTGTACTCATGGCGACGTCAGACGACGGAGACGAGCCGGACCACATCAGATCAGAAGCCGAAGGTTTCACATCGGCCTCGTTCTCGGCAGAGTTCGGTAAGACGACTGTGAAGGAAACATTAAAACCAGGTGAGACCTCCGCGACGCACACGTAACAACAATCCTCAAACGTTTCCTGCCGCAGACGTGGCGTGAGCGTCATGAATCGCTCCGCCGCAGCTTCTCTGGTAAATCTGGAGGACGAATGAGCTCAGGGAGAACGATAAGAACCGGACCCAAACACCGAAGTTCTGACCTTGATGCTCGGCCTCCGCTCACATTCCTGCACGTTAAAAACGGAGTTTGATGAACCTCGGGGGCGTCTAACCAACCTGCTGTGGTCCGTTTCATAAACGTCCTCAACAGACTCACAAACACTGAATCAGAAAAATGATCAAATTTAATTTTCTGTTTAGAAAGTGCGACTAAAAGCAGCAGGACACATTTATAACTTTAAGCTTTACATTATTAGTGTAAATAAACACTGACTGTATAGAACTTATCAGTTTTTTGTTTTTTAACTGAACTAGAACTTTTTTAATCACCATCCCCGTCAAAGCAGGCAATAAAAACAGCTCCATTTCAGCTACTTTAACAGATCGTGAGCTAAAACTGTGTCAGTAGCTGCTGGTCCAACAGATCTCAGAGCAGCAGCCAGTTCTCAGCTGAACTTTTGTTTACGCTCTGGCAGGAAAGGCGGCGGGCGATATGCATTCCTGCTGACGGTGTCACCGGGTCCTGATTGATAAATGCTTTAAACACAAACGGACCGGTTGTGTCATGGAGGGACAGTCCCTCGATACTGCGCGGTTCGACCTTTGCAAACTTATTCTCGTGGTCTTTCAAAGTACATTAAGATTGTACACAACAATAAATAAATAAATTTAAAATCAAAAAAATAATCACATTAATTTTGTAGTTTTCTCTCAATAAGCCTACACTGTATCGCCAGTCTAAAGGACTACATTACCCAGAAGGCAAAGTTGCTTTCTGCTGAAATGGAAAAGTTCAGCGCTCAGTGGATGCAGAGAACCGATCAGAACCGGACCAGAACTGGACCAAGGCTGGGTATGTCTGCCGAACCGGAACTGAGCCGGACCAGAACCGAGCTGTGTGTTCTGCAGAGCTGGTGAGTAAAAAGGCATTACTACTCACGCAACTTACATTTTTAAGTTGAGAGGATAAACATTATCAAGTTATCTCGATTAATAAACTCTTGCTAAATAAACTTTGTCTTTAGTTTAGTTGATTTAAATTTATGTATGGGGGGTGGGGTGTGACATAACCCCTGTGATAAGTGAAAAACAGCGAAGTAGGAATAGTAGTACAACTAGTAGTTTATTTTAGTATTTAGCATTTTAAACCCTTCCCACACTCTTGCAATATTCTAAACAACGTTTCTAAACTCTTTAAAAGAGACAGAACGTCATGATTTCAGCTCCCTGCCTCTGGCTGCACTCTCGGCCACGCCCACTTCTCCGCTCTGCACAAGATCAGCTGATCAGCTGCAGGAGGAAGCTTCTTGCACAGCTGTGGGCTGCACACAGGCGCTAAACAATTTAAAATAATTTATTTTAAATAAAACGTCCGTGCCGCTCATCCATCAATCAGCCAAATCGTGTGTCATGTCCAATCTTACTTTGAAAAACCGCGATACAGCGAGTCAGCGAAAAACGAACCGTGAAGTACTGAGGGACTACAGCGTGTAATCTGAAGGGATTAAATCATTGTAAAGTCTACAGGCACAAATTCAGGCTCTAAATGTGCTTTTCACCTGATCTGAATCAGATTTTAAATCGTGACATGCGGGAAAGGACAAATACCTAAAATTCACTAAAAATAAAGTTTGATTGTGTGTCAGCCACTGGTCAGAATTAAAGGGACAGTTCGTATATTTTGAGGTGTTCTGAAGCAAAGAAGTTTAATCCACCAACCTTTTACGGGAAGAAATAAGTGAATGTGAGGAGTTCCTCCTGCACTTAAATCTGTTCTCTGATGAAAACAAGACGAGAATTTGTTTTTACCGGTTTGTAATTCAGAAGGCGACGGGTCGTTCTCCTCCCCTTCTTTCATCTGAGCCTCCTGCTCCATCTGATCCACCGTCCCGATGTCCATCATCTCGTCCAGGTCGTCCTCCGTGGAGACGGTTGGCTTACAGCGCAGAGGGGATGTCTCCTCCTTCACCCCTCTGTCCTCCTCCTTCACCCCTCCGTCCTCCTCCTTCACCCCTCCGTCCTCCTCCTTCACACCTCCATCCTCCTCCTTTACCCCTCCGTCCTCCTTGATCATCCCTCCATCCTCCTCCTTCACTCCTCTGTCCTCCTCCATCACCCCTCCGTCCTCCTTCACTCCGTCGTCTGTCTGTTTCACCTCCTCTCTGCGATTAGAAGCCGAGTCCTCGCCGCCGCTCGCTCCTGCTGGAGTCTCCTCTGAACGTTTCTCCTGCTCCGTAACATCGTCCTCCTCCACCTCCTCAGGTTCCTCCTCTTTACACTCAAACTCGGCGCCGTTCGGCTCCTCGGTGGAAACAGCCGGTGAAGAGGACGCTGCAGTTTCTGTTTTCAGACCAACCGTCTCTTTGCTTTCGGTCTCTGTTTCTGCAGCAGAGTCGTCCACCTTCTCCTCTTCAGACGTCGATGATGAAGATCCAGGAGCAGACTCCGGGTCTCCAACATCCGCTGACGTTCCCGGCTCCGACGCTCCTTCCACCGACTCATCGGCCACCTGTGCAGAGAACAGACTTCAGACTCTTCTGCCTCATGAACTAACAAATAAATGGACTAAACTCAAATCTGGACTGAAGGTTTTCTGGTGGACAGGACGTCGTCTCTGACGCGTTCACTTGATCAAATTTACAGCTCCAGTTATGACGAAATATTTTACTTTTTTCCTTTAATCAGAACGGTTTGATTGTCATATTTAAACGTGGTCCTGATCAAAAGATTTCCAGGTTTTTCGGAGGTTTATCTCTGGGCGTTGACTGTGCGATAAAAAAAAACTGGACAAAGATTAAAAAGTGAACAAGCAGCTAAATTAAAGTCCAAATGGAAAAACCTTCAAAAAGCCTGGAGGACTGTTGAGACTAAATTAAGAGATTACATGAAAGTGTCTGTAAAAAGAAGAGGAATAACTTAAAGTTGTATTTTCTTTACAGAGCTGTAGATTTGTAGCGGAGTAGTGTTTATTCAAATATAAATGTGTCCGTTTGCAAATTTATTTTAAACAAATAAAAATCTGTAAACACACGCTCCTGTTAAACTGTGAGATTATTCTTTTAACGCGATGAGAAAGATGCATTTTGCTCAACACAACGTGGGAACGAGAGCTCTGAGAACCCAGAATGCACCTGTCTCTTGGTCTGCAAGCTGCGGTTCTGGAGCCACATGTGGCCCTTCAAACCTTCAGAGGTGGCTCCTTGTAACTTTGACTAAACAAACATCAACCAAAGTCTGTTTTATTTATAAATTCACATAAAGAAATAATACTTTTAGCTGTTCGTCTGTCCAAACGTTTTGCATAAAGTTTCTTGATAACACGGGCGGGCTGTCGGTGGCAACGTGTTTAAAAACAACTAAACTTTAAATGGTTTTGATCGTGACATCACATCTGACCGTGACCCAGGATTTCACTGTTGAGATCATTTATTAGCCGAGACTCAATTTGTTTTTTTTCTGATTTTTTACAATATACTTAAGACAAACTGCTGTAAATGCAGAAACTTGTTTTGCTCAGATTAGGTCTGGATGTTAAGGCGTTGGAATTTGGTGCTGCAGAAACATACAGCGTTTTTTTTTTAAACAAATATGAAGAAAATAAACTGTATTTGATAAAAATAGCAAATTAGGTAAACAAAATAAAGATATTTGGTTGAAACTTAGTGCTTCCCTTTTCTTCAAGCGTGACTTGTTCTTTTCACACAAATACTGAATGAACTCAATCAGCTCTGCATCATTTTAAACAAGAGACATTTACTTAGTTTTAGGTGTTTTAGCCTTAAAATCTGTTGGACTCCTGGCAAGGACCAACGCAGACACGTCCCTGTTAACTAACTAACTAACTAACTAACTAACAAACAAACATACATACATGCATACAACAAAATAAATATCCTTTCATTATCCGTTTACTCAAATAAGCCACACTGAGGACTCAAGAAGAGTTTTTAACTGGTTTTTAGTTGCAAGGGTCACGAGGAAGCTTTTACAGATGTGCAAAATGACATGCGTTGAGCCTCGTCAGTGAGAATCTGCAGGCAGACAGCGAGGCAGGAAGAGCTTTAACACACGCTCATCAGACACAGGTGAGGTCAAGACGACCTCTGCTTTCCAGCTTAGACAAGGAGAAGGCCTTGGAGTTATCAGTGCTCCTCCGTGCACCTGCAGGCTCCTCTCTGAGCAGACAAAACAACTCTCTAACTCACACATTCATTTAACATTAGTTAGTCATAAACATCCATAACAACAAAGTCCATGCTCAACAATCCAGGTATACAGTCCAACATTTATCAGTCAGGTCATCTGGACAGTTTCTTTTTTTGTGCTGAAACGTTTCACCTTCGATCCAGAAGGCTTCATCAGTCAAGGAAACACAACAAAACTGATTCTTCCACCAACAGCTTATTCCAAAGTGGAACAAACCAGTTCTGCTTGTGATAAGATGGTCTCTTTGGTACGCCCCCTCCTCCATTGCCGGCCCTCTTCCTTGTTGACGGTCTTGTCAAACTGGTTGAAAACAACAAAGTCCATGCGTCATTCCTTGACTGATGAAGCCTTCCGGACCGAAGGCGAAACGTTTCAGCACAAAAAAAGAAACAGTCCAGATGACCTGACTGAAAAATGTTGGAAACATCCATAACCTTTACCTAAATTCCCCTGACAATATGTATCTGTACAGATTATATTTAGTCAGAAACATGATTAAAATGCCTCGTTTAAACACAAAGATGAAGAGGACACCCCTGGTCCAGACACAATCTTCAGTCGAGCAGAACTCAGAGCTATATCCATCCATCTTTTTAAGAGTTAAATATCTAATTTGAACATGTTTTAGCTGCACACGCCTCAGTGCTGACCGTAAATCTGTCATTTTACAACCGTAAATATCTTTTTTGTCTTTGAGCTCCTTCCTGAATTAAATTACCCCAAACAGTCTCAACTTTAAAGGTCAAGTGTGTAGAGGAACACCACCTCAGAAAAGAACACCTCTTCTCAGCTTAAACAGAAAAAGAGTGCAGATGTTGGATGCTGCAGATGTTGGATGCTGTCTATCATGGTGCACTAAGATTCATAACTGGCTGTAACTACCGTACCCACCACTGCACCCAGTATCCACTGGTTTTCTGGTCACCATTAACTTCACACAGACTCTCTCACTGGTACATTTTCATCTTTAAGTCACTTCTTGGTCTGCTGCCTTCATACATCTCCTCCTACATGTCTCTGTGTGAGTGCAGCTACAGCGTGCGCTCTCAGGACATCATTACCTGCAGTGTTCCCTCAGTGAGGACTGAACTAGACAAAAGGACCTTCTCCTATTCCGCTCCTGTTTCCTGGAATATCTTGTAAAAAGATCTGAAGCTCTCGACCTTTGACCTCTCTAAGTGGCTTCAAACATCTGATAGTTCCTGGAAAAAACCAACGCAGACGTGTTTCCGTTTTTAGTTTTATACAACGCCTCTTAATCTAGTTGTTTTTTTTCACTACATTTCTTTTTAATTATCATTTTGTTTCTAATTGTTAAAAAAAAACATTTGTGTGACTCATTTGTGATTGTCTACTGTTGTCATCATTCTTTGTTAAAATTCAGGTCTCGAGTCCTCACGGCTCAATGGCACTAACCTGTTTAAAGGTTTCCTGATGCATGCTGTTTAAAGGTTGAATGAAAAAAAAGAAGCATTCCGAAAGGCACCAATGACGTCATACTTCCGGGATGGACACAGGAAATGCCCAAAACAACTCCAAGCATTTTTTTTCCCTCTTGATTTTTTTAAAGATTGAGTGCGATTTTTTTGTGCTAGATTCTGGAAACAAATAGTTTGAGCTGTAAAACAAATGGACAGGCCGTTACAGGTCTATAAATGAGTCCCCGGGACACAATGAGACTCATCTATATAAATAAAGGTCGAACAAATGAAAAAAGTTAGTGGTAATCACGGACAGCTGCACGTTTACATGCATTTATTTGGTCTCTACCTAAACTCTCGCGATACCAACACAATGCAAACTCTTTCATTGTTTGCGCCGTGTAGCCTAATTAAACTCGACCTGGGTCACACAAGTTGCTTCTTCGCCTCCGACCATGAAAACATGAAGACCCGCAGCTCAAAGCCCGCGAAGCTAACGCTAGCATGTCCGTTAGCTTCCTGTTAGCTTAGCCCCCGGGTCAAAATAAACCCGTTTCTGCTTAAGCAGGCGGAGTTGTTTGTGCGCTGGATGCAGCTAACATGCTAACGGGGTGAGCTGAACGTTTTGTGGGTGATCTGGGAGGTGTGTGATGACTAAAAGTGCAACATTAACAACGTGTAGATGGTTACTACCGCGGCTTGGACGGACGAAACCTGATTGTTGGCCTGATGGTCGGCTCCGTCTCCGGTTTCTTCCATGCTTCCACCAAAATAATCACAAATAAAATAAATGTAGTGATTTCCACTTTCCAACGGGACTCTAAAGCTAAACTATTACTTTTCTGTTGTCCTGGCTGTGCAGGGTTTGCGGACGACGCTTCTCTTCTTCGTTGCACTAATTCATGTTAGCTAATGAGCATGCGCACTGCCGCCACCTGGCGGCAGAAAATATAAAAACTCAATTCTGGTCGGAAGTTTCTATAGATCTGCATTTATTACTGGTTATTAATTTTTATTTAGCTAGCGACATCTATCCATTTAATATCTATGGATGTGCGCGCCTGGCTTTTCGCAGGTCTGCGGGTGCTTAATACTTCCGGTTCCTCACTTGAGTGCACGGTGGATCTGCTTCCGGTCGGCACCGCATCTTTCCTCAGTCTGGTGCTGAACTTGCTTTTTAATCCAAATCCCTGCATCATTCCCGACTCATAATCCTCAGATCGAAAGTGTTTGGAGCACAAAACTCTGTTCCGAGTCGGCGCATCGAAGTTTGCCCGTTTCATGAACTTAACCCACTTCTCCCGGACTTCCTTAATTTTGGGAAAGAATGGGTACCGACCCCTCCACGGCTATAGTCCCACAGAACTGTGCGACACATCGGTTCGGCATGTTGTTCTTGCCACAAATACGTTTGCCAGATATTGGAAGTAATCTTTGCACAACAGAAATTTTGAAACAAAATGGTGGTCTCATGCGATCGATCGGATCCCTGCGTGACGTCACGTCCCATCCATGAAGTGATCAGACTGAAACAGCTTGAAACGTCTAAAAAACTACATTTATTTAAAACCTGGGTCTGTGCTTTATTTTTTGCTAAACGTGTAATGTAAAAAATTGAGTTTTGGAAATTTCAATCTAATCAGAAGAAAATATTTTAAAAATAATCCAACAGTTCAGTTATTTTGTATTTAAACCGACATGTTTTATAACTGTCATTCTTGTGTTTGTGGCAGTTATGACATGTCTTATGGTTGAATGTTCTCCCAAGTAATCACATGTAACAATATGTAGCAATGGCCTGCAGTTAACACCCGTTATTTTCTGACAAAAATGACTCCGTTTGGAGGAAGTTCATCCTAATGTTTTATTCTGACGAAGGGAAAAAACATATACAGCAAAAAAACAATTTCAGGGGTTAACATTCAGATTCTTCAACTGTGAAATACTCGATTTACAACTGAAAATGAGTGATTTTCTAAAAGGGAACAAAGTAAAATGTGTGAAACAAATAAAAACTGACGTTCTGATACTTTATTATGCCTCTTGTGATCGTCAGCTCCAAACAACTGATAACATCTTTCAGTCCGCAGTGTTTCTCTCTTTAGCTCTTAAAACTAAATCTGCTCGTTTCTTGCAGCGCATCAACAAATGCATCAAATCTGTGAGTTGTTGCCCCAAGCTCAACTTGATACAATCATTTCCATCTCGGTTATGTTTTACTATGAAATCTTAACTATTTACAGCCATATTTACATGCATCAGTCTCCTTCCCCAGGCTCTCTTCCACCTGCTGCCTACTCACAGTGCTGTCTGCAGGTATCACAGATTGTACAACTGTCTCAATAATAAAAGCACTATCCCTTGAAGGAATGCTGTTCTGTTGTAGCGGCCATCTTGAATTGGATCGACTTCAAACGAATAATTTGCCGATTGAATTTATTTCATTAAAATCTTTCCACCGTTTCAGTTTGCCAACAGGAGATGAGGTGTTTTTAGTCTGGTTCTGTTTCTAATAAAACTGTTTGTCATCGTATGAAGACTCGTGTTTGAATTCAAGAGGAGTAAAATACATCAGATGAAATGAGAAGCAGAGGCTGTGCACGTGGTCTTATGAGGGGTCGCTGATGGTCTGTGGAGGATCCTGCTGGATTTTCAGAGAACTCATCTTGTCCAGTTCGTCCATGAAGCCTTCGTCCACAGACTCCCTGTCCACCTCCTCTTCCTCGGCCTCGTTCGGAAGAAAAACGTGCAGCTGAGCGCGAGCAGCGGGGGCACGACACTGGCTGCAGCTCAGGACACAGGGCTTCCCCACCACAGACAGAGGCCCCCCCTGGCAGGGCGAGGAGCTCCAACGCTGCACTGCTGAAAGCCTGAGGTCACTGTGCAGCACCTGGGGGGTCAGGGCCGGGCTGTGGGAGCGGCGTCTCGCAGGTCGGGGGCGGGCGTGTGGCTGGATGGGCTGAGAGACGTGGATGTAAGTGGGTCTGCTGCGATTCTGGAGCTGCGGGTCAGCACCCCCGGCTGGCAGGCAGTTCAGTGAGGGAGGGGGCCACTTCTGTAAAACACTGGAGCGACGGCTGCCAGAGGACTCGTCAAACGAGACGTCCTCACTTGGACTGAGGGACGGCTCACTGAGGCTGGAAAAGAAAAAAACGTTCAACAGAAAGCTGCACATGAGAACCACAGGAGGTGGGGCGTCGAGTCAAATGTTGATATGAATAAAAATCTCAGACGGGGGGTCTGAGACAAAATGAACACACAAAATGCTGAAAATGAGAAACAACATTTCTTAGGAACACCAAGTGATCTTCTACAAACTGAGCGACGAGGCTGCAGGAGCTGAACGTCTGGTTCAGGTTCACAGAGTTCGTTTCCAGTTTCTAAAAACCAACGGTCGGATTCTGTTCATCTGCTGGAATCAGCCTGAAAGAACGTTCACCAGCCTGGCAGCGACTGAGACCAGGAGGAACAGCATTAAAGGACCAAAGAAGACCCTCAGGAAAACTGATCCAGATCCTTTAAAACAGGGTCTCCAACTCAACTTACCTGGGGGGCGCCGGAGGAAGAGTCTGGACCGCGTCAAGTGTTCAACAAAAACAAAAACAACCGATCCAATCTTTACTAATAATTCAGAACATGAACAGTTCTACGGTTCTTCAGAACACGAACGGTTCTTCAGAACGCGAACGGTTCTTCAGAACAGGAACGGTTCTTCAGAACGCGAACGGTTCTTCAGAACGCAAACGGTTAATCAGAACACTAACGGTTCATGAGGAACACAAACGGTTCTTCTGAACACCAACGGACGGAGGGGGCAATTCTCTCAAAAATGATTCAAGCTCATCTGTTTTTCCACTAACTCCTTGAACTTGGTTTCGAGGTTGGAGATGCACCACAGGTCAGTTAGCTCCATCTCAAGTACGGGGTGGGGGGGGGGTGCATCTTCCACATCAAAGGAGAAGGGGTCAGCAAAAATCTGAAAAGAGGCTCCGTGTGTCTTGAAGTCTCAAACCTGTGATCACATTCTTCCTGTAGCCATCAGCACTTCTCACCACTGAATGGTGCACAAATCCATGAGGGCCTGCATGCTGGGAAATGGCAGCTTGTCAGACACTGGTGTCTGGGAACTCTGGTCTTTCCATAGATCAAGTTTAATGGAGAATGCTCTGACATGGTCATGTGCAGCAGTGACAAGCTGCCCAGAGGTGCAGTCTACGATGTGCAGGTAAGTATAGACACTGATACGCAGCTAAACGCTTCTGTAACAAAATCTGTGAGCAACAAAAAATGATTCCGTCTCCCTCTTCTCCTGAAAGTGTTCGTGTTCATCGCGACCTCTCTCTTCATGGCAGGTTGTGAAAAAGGCGACTGGCGCTGGGTGATAAAAACGTACTTGAACTGAGCGACAGGAAGTTTCCCTCCAGTCTGTGACAAACACGTTTCAGTCGTTAAGAGTCTGAGCTGGTGGTCCACAAGTGCTAAAACATAAAATACTCGGGGTGGAACGGTTGTAGGCCGCAGTAACACCAAGCTTTGATGGGGGCCACAAAATATCAGTCCACGGCTGCACCTGGCCCCCGGGCCACGAGTTTGAGACACCTGCTTTAAAACAGTCCAGGTAAGTCTGGTCCCTGACCAGGAACCCAAAGAACCGGATCAGGACTGGTGTCAAAACAACCTGGTTTGACTCGATCCAGCTGAGAGGGAACCGGACAGAAGTGAATGAAAGGTCCAAACAGAAAGAGCTGCAGGTTCTGTCTGGACCCCATCCAAGACCCGACACATCAGAACCTCTTGTTCACCTCTCTGCGGCGCTCGGGTTTCTCCCTCCCCTGAAGGGAAGCCAGCGGATCAGTTGGCACACCTGAGATTTACGGCACACCTGGACTGGGCCGTTCAGAGGTTTGGATGGTGTGTGTGTGCGTGTGTGTGTGTGTGGGGTATATAAAGCCATCGAACTGGGACAGGACTGGAAGGAAACGTACTGTAGTTCCAGCTGGGCTGAGATTTGACAGGTCCTCATGGAGAAGAGTGGAGACGTTCAGGTATCAAGTCTGTTCATAATTTTTTATTTGATTTAAATTTGCTTTTTGTCGAATTATTGTTTGTACTTTAAACGTGATCCGTCTACATCAGGTCTCTCGAGTCCTCGTGACTCAGTGAGACTAAAGGTTGAAGGAACGAATCCCCGTCAGACGAGGAGTCCAGACCTTCGGTGTTTAAAGTCACCGCAGATCGTCCACGATGTCGAGAATCAGCTGAGCTGAAATATCAAAGAACTTCTCTCATTCACGTAGGAACTTATTTCACTAAAGACTGAACGGCTTCTGGTGGAAACCAGAGAAACAGGAAGTGACATCACAGTCTGCTTTACTAGGCCGTGAGAAAGAAGTAAACTTTAAAACGATTCATCGAACACACGAGGTGAGTCGAGTAAACTTGAACGGTGGACCGTCATGGATCATCTTTTACTTCCAGTTCCAGAGGAAAACCTCCGGTGCAGATTCTGAAACTTCAGAATTAAAATTATTATCACTAAACATTTGCAAATGAAGCAGTTTTCTTTTGTAAGTTGTCGCTAAAGATCAAGATTCAGGTTTAAAAACCGTTTTAAGTTAAAATGCCTTAAAATAATTAACTTACAAACACGTCAGGCTTGAGATGTTTAACTGAACATTTCCATAAAACTCCAAGAGATTAAGTTAAAAATCATTTTTATGGTTTTATCAGATTCTTCTGTCAAACATTTTTAATGAAAAACAAATTTCAGTTTTACATTTATACGGTTTAATTTTTATTTTCTGCTTCATTTTATTCAGTAACTACCGTGAACTTTGTGGTCAAGATGAATTTATAGAGTAATGGTCTTACCTGAGGCGAGCCGTGCTGCTCCGCCTGCGGGGCCCTCTGCTCAGAGACGGCAGCCTCAGGGGGGCTCGGGTCCGGGTCCCGGGCTGAACAGGACCGGACAGCAGGCGGGCGTTTCTCTGGACGGCTCTGCGGGGCCAGGACCCACCCAGGTCCAGTTCAAGGACTGCTACTGGGAGAGTGGCTCCACCTGTCCCCATCGTCTGCGCTGGAGTGTCAGCTGGAGATGTTCACCTGGTGAGGAGTTCTGATCATGACCAGACGAGGGGAGGGCCACTGCAGACCCCCAGCCTGAACCCTGCAGGGGTTCTGGACAGACTGTACCGAGGACTGGATCTCTGCCGGACACCATGAATGATGCATGATCATTAATGATGCAGAGACGCCGTTTACGCTTCCTCCCTCCCCCGGCTCCGTTTACAGCCGGTGAAGAACCGGTCGGAGCGGACAGAACCTGCTCCAACCTTCTGACAACTCAACCAGTCAAACCAGTTACTGTTTAAACTTCTCACATGCAGCCACTTGGACTTTCTGTTAAATGAATAAAAAAGCTCTTCACCTAAAAGTTAAACCAGAATAATTTATTTTTTATTACCACAAACTCAAAATGGACGTCAACGAACCACATCCAGAACTGGAGATATTTAGATCTACAGATGTAGATGAAACATTTTTATTCTTACTGGAAACCAGTGCTCGTTTAATCAGAAAAATAACATTTCAGAGGATGTGGAGTGGCCCAGTTTTACTTCCACGAAGCTGCTTGAGTGAGACTAGAACCTGACCAACATGGGGACCGGCTCGCCTGGGCTGGACCTGGACCTCCTCCAGGGCTGACAGCCAACACTCGGGGTGCCGGAGTCTCAGCAGCGGAAACTTTGCACCTTTAGCCTTAATTGTGCGTGTCCCGGAGGCAGAGCAGAACGTCACGGGCTTCAGGTTGAGCTGATTAAAGTTTAAAGACAGAGAGGAGCACAGTCAACAAAACTCTGGAGTTTATTTTTTATTTTTAACAGAACAAGGAGGAACGGATCATCTGCGAGTAGATCGTCCTCTGCTGGACACATGGGGAACTGCAGCTCAGCCTGAGGAGGAAGTTGGACACAAATCAGAACATTTTCTGTCTTAGACATAAAAAATAAACAACTTTTTTTTTTTTTTTGCATCGTTCGTCTGAAAAATGGATTCTTGAAAAAAATGCCAGTTGTTCATCAAGTTGATTAATTTTCTTATAGAAATTTTAACAATTTAAAGAACATCCACCGAGAAGGCGATTCTATAATTTTGTAGTAGAATTACCGTTAGCAGTGGTTTTAAGGGTTGCAGTACTGGGAGTAGTATTACTAGCATTAGTATTATTGGTAATAGAAATAGCATTAGCTGTAGTAGTTGTACTAGCAGTAAAAAATAAGCATTAGCAACAGAATTGGCTCTAACAGGAAGATGACCTGCACGGGGTTTGGTCGGCGTTCGTTATAAAACCTACGTTTTGAACACATCGTGGACCTGAACACTCCAACTCGGAGGCGGTGCAGGCGGCACGTTGCGGAGTCTTCCTGCGGACATCAGTCTTCAGTTTGTACCTGCGGGACCAGAGAGCACATGAACGGTTACTGAACAGGACCGTGGAGAACTGAAAACCCTCCTGGAGATAAAGATGGATCCTGCTGGCCTCACCGGTGGTTTGGAGTGGACTCTCAGCCTCCTTCGATTGGGCGATGCTCCTGCAGCGAGAAAACAAACAATGAGAGCCCGGCAGTGACTGGTCAGCAGCTTGATTTGTATTTTACTCCTACAGACAAAATGAGCAGAGAAAGTGTTGTGTAGGTTGTGAGTGTGACGTTTATGAACATGCATTAGTGTCAGTGTGAGGAGATGGTCAATGAACGGTTATGAAGACGCCCCTCGGGGGTTCTGAAGTGGATTCATGTTTTCAGAAACTGCAGATGAGGACAGGTTTAACAGCAGCTGCTGGTCCTGAACAGACAGGAAGTTGATCCGGGTACAGCATGTGAAACCCCTCGATACAAACCCACACAGAGCTGCACCTAAACCTCGAACAGAACAAGATTCGGGTCGTTTTCAGGCTCAAACCATCATTGGACCCCTTTATAGACGGGGGGGGCCATAATCGGCAACAGGGTGGTTCTGGCATCACACCGACAGGAAGTTGATACAAATATCAGCCAATTAGTTTGAAGGATTGTCAGGAAATGGATCACAGTGCAGACGGACACGTCATCAGCTTGGGAGAACCATGAACTTCTTCCAGAGCTACAGAACATTTTCCACCTGAAGTTTGTTCCAAAAAAATGTGGAGAAAATAATTTAATACAGCGGAGAGAGAGGGAGGAGCCAAACATCTGCTGATGCGTTTACAAAGTCCAACAGATCAGGTGGACGTGTGCTCAGGTCACCATGGAGTTTCACTGACACACTTCCAGCCCAGAACAAAGAGCGTCTGGACGTGGTGGTGAAGGATCAAAGTTACGATGACGACTTCCTTCTCTTTACAAACACAAACGCACCAGTACCAGTAAGAGTACCAGTACCAGTACGTCCTCACCCATCATTCATACTGGCATCATTTCAGATCAGACGTTCTGCAAACAGCCCAACGATGATACTCAGATCTGATGATTCAAACAAACCATCCTTCCGTGGTCAGAGAAAGTAGGATCAAAACCTTCACTGTCCGTTTGTTGTGTTTCCTTAAATCCAGCGTGTCACTGAGCCGCGACTGTTCCTGAACTGAACCGGTCTCCTCAAAGTTCCTCGTGAGGCGCAGAGGCTCTACGTTTTGTTGCTTCAAGTTGAATTACGTATTTGGACAATTTCCTGTGAAAACAGATGTTGCAGGTGTTTTGACCTCATCTTTTAGTTTCTGTCACTTTAGAGCCCTGGAGGCGTGTCCCGACAGGAGCGCACCTCTGAACAGAGCACCGCCCCCAACATCCCCCCGCTTTAAACCCCAACGTGGAGAAATAACTAAAAATCCAGGTTCATCAATGAAGTGTGTTCTTTATAAACGAACACAACATCAAAATGTGCACGGCCTCGAGTTCAGCTTTCCAAGTCCTGCTCACACTGTATTTGGACTGTTTTTAATAAAACTGCTCAAAGTGCGGCTTCAGTTCAGAGAATTCAGTGACACCAACAGAAAATCTATTTTAGTCTCCGACAAGTGGCAGCTCAGTGAGACCTTCAGTGTGATCAGGACACGAGGTTCATACCTTCTGAACCTTCATCCAGAGGCTGCAGGTAAATACCACGAGGCTACATCTGACGTTACATTATGGTCTGAAGGACTCGCTGCTTTAAAAAATAATAAAAGGCTAAAGTTGTGAATTCTTCTCAGACTGGATGCAGACACTGTGACCTTTAGATGAACCAACGGTTCCTTCAGTGCTCCGTTATAAAGCCACAACAGAGACGGTGCTAACTTCTGATGACCAAGTTGACTGGACCATCGCTTTAAACCAGTAACTGGTCTGAACAGAACAGGTCACTTCCTGCGACTGATGGGGCTCATTTCAGTGTGAGCAACACCAACCATTGAAAAAAGCCCTTTTTTAGTTTAAAATAATCTCCCACGTCACTGAGATTAGTTGGAAATTAGAACAAATGAAGTTTCTTAATGAGGCAGAGAACCAGCTTCAACCATCAACTCCAGTTCTACAAAACAAATACCACATACTTTGCACCGATATTCTGGTTTTTGTTTTATATCCAGTCTGACTTGAGTGCCGCCACGAAAGGTGGGCGACCATGTAATCGCTCATGTCTTAGCGTTTGTTCCATCAAAATATTTCATGAACGTGTGAACAGATGATGAACATCTGTAAACCATGTACTTGTAGTCAACCCGAGTCAAAATGGCCGCCACAGGTCAATGAAACTCAAATTGCTACAACCGAGTCAGTTTGAGAGATTTTGAGCTCAACTGTGTAGTAGTAGCTGAGAGTCATCCTCACACAGTGGGTATTAAACTGTGACCTGCAAGGCAGCGGGCGATATGCACTCCTCCAAGGGATGCTAGGCCAATATTTGTTTAATGCGATGGCAGCGGAAGTTGTGACCATGAGATTGCTCCAACAAAGACGGATCAGTATTTATTCCCAACCACACTTAAGAGCTGAAACAAGTCTTAAACGATCATGACTCTAACCCGACGAGTCTCGGCTCAGTTGGCTGCGTGAACCGTCAGGACGGGTCACTAAATATTGTGGGATAAACTGAGGGCCGACGGTTTCCTTGTGCATGCATGAACAACAGAGGAGGTGCTCATGGTTCCTTAGGGTTTTAATTAAGAGTCCGGCCGATACAGAACTTTTGGCTATCGCAGATACCGAGATTGGGAGGAGCAGCTGAGCGCAGACAACCGATATCATGGCTGAACATTTTGAGCTCTGTTCACCCCCAAGAATCCAAGTAAACAGCGAGTGGAACGGGGCTTGTTTATTCAGCGCGGCTCTTAGAAACCATGAAGCTAAGTGAATCAGATCCACGCTTTACATGGTGCCCCAGTTGTCCCACGTCACTGTCAGTGCAGCTACAGCGTGCGCTCTCAGGACATCATTACCTGCAGTGTTCCCTCAGTGAGGACTGAACTAGACAAAAGGACCTTCTCCTGCTCCGCTCCTGGAATATCTTGTAAAAAGATCTGAAGCTCTGGACCGTGGCCTCTCTAAGTGTTTTAAACAACTGCCAAGTTCATGGCAAAACGCAGACATGTTCCTGTTTGTAGTATTCTACATCGCTTTATTATCTAGTGCTTTTTTGTTTTATATCATTTCTTCTTCTTTTCCATTGTATATGCTTTTTACATGATTGTCTACTGTTAAATGAGTCCTCGAGGCTCAATGAGACTAACTTGGAGAAATAAAGGTTGAATGAACAGTTTCTTGTTTCAGTGGTGCGGTCGTCATTAAAACAGTCTTCCTAACGTGCACTCACATTTTCTATCCTCCACTATTCAAGTTATTGTGTTATAAAATAAAGATTAAACAAGGAAACACCCTTCCCTGTTCAGTCACATATAGTGAAGGACTAATGGGGAATGATCACAGCAGTTTATTTTTCTTTGTAGAGAAGTAAATATTTCAGACAAACAATGCATTTCATCGAGGACAGCAAAGATACAACGTTACTAACACTGATATAATTTTACCTCTACGTTAGATTTATTGTTCTGGATCAAGTTTTACAAGGCAATAGCCTATGCTAGGTAATCTAAACGTTAGCTTGTGAACTGGAGAGGCACGGAGCTAATGACAAGCAGGTTGGAGGATTGAAGAGAATTTATTTTTGTTGATTTGTTTTAGTTAAAACAAACTTGCCTGTTCAAAAAAATACCCTACGCAGCATTGTTTGCTGCTCCATCTGTGCTGAATGTGAAAGTGAAACTTAAGTGAACGGCCATAATTTTAAACGAGTCTTCATGCGCCCTCTGGTTCCGGCAGTGGTTTCCCTAGATAACTTGCCATGGCGGGGCACTTATCTCGTCCATGATTTTTGTCGACTGGAGGCACATCTGAGCTGTGCACCGTTTGTACCGGCAGTTATTGAGCCTGGTGGTGGGTGGGGGTGGGGGGGTTCAGTGTAGCCAGCGCTACCTTTAGCTTTATAGCTACTGCACTTGTATTGTATTGCACACTACTAGCTTAGCGTTAAGCCAGTGCCGATAGGTGGTGGTAGTGGGGTGTACGTAGTTCGGTTTGGTTGACGGGGCGCCCTGCTTGTATAATTGTAGGGGAAACACTGAAACATTTTAGGGGTGAAAATTACAAGTGTTTATATCGACACAAAATGGGACCATTATCACCAATACCGATAGATCCCAAAAAGTCTACATCGGCCTAAATTACCAGCCGTGATTTATCGGCCAGGCTTTAGTTTTAATTTCAGATTCTCATTACAACCAGCTTGTCCAACAGGTAAACTGGGTTCCTGTTAAAGTTCCTTTAATACAAGATGGCAACACGATGAAGCCAACTGGAGATGAAATCAGAAGGCTACATCCCAAAAAGTAAGACTCGACTCGATCACCATTTCACTCCAAAAGAGTGACGATCATTAGAGCAGATTGTTCACATTGTTTTACAAAAAGGTGTGAAAACTATAAAATCTCCATGAAATATCTCATCCCAGCAGAAAAGATTAAAATATATGAATCAAGGAACCCCAACACAAACACTTATCTTTAAAAATGAAGATATAAAGGGCAATGCGTGAAAGCTCGGCAGAGTTTAGGTTTTGATTTATTGCAGCACAGAACCTGCCTGTCTCCACTGATTATCACGTGCAACTTTTATTTTATAACCATGAAATCAGCACGAGATGACCGCAGGAAAATATGAAATGGTCTTTTTCCAGGTCTGTGTGATTTTTCAAGATAATATTTCCAAGAGTCACAATATTTGGTGATTTTTCACTCGTCTGCATTCAAAAACCAAAGTGACTCCATCTTTGATTTACGCGTCCGTGGTGTTCTGGTGCAAACACAGAGAGTTCACTGTACCACAGAGAGACACACACACAGCAAAGGTAACAAACAGCTTCATTACACAAACACAAAGAGGTTCAAGAACAAGTTCCTGCACTGTGGATCCATTTGTTTTCAGTGTGATGCCAGAAGCCCTCAGCGGTGACACAGAGGAGAGACAGAAAGGTCCGGAGTAAGGTCACAACTGTTCATCTTGTATCAGAAACATGGATGGACACTTACCTTACTCGTTCGGCTGATCTGTGTAAGCATACCTCTGGCAGCAGGCTTTACTGTCCACTGACTTCTGCAGAACTACTCATCGTCAAAGTAACCCAACTGCAGAGAAGAGCATGTACGCCGGAATGGGGCAGCCTGTCTTTGACAAGCTGGCTGACAGCAGCTAATGCACCTCAGGTACCCAAAGACAAGAACACTCAACCACACAAACAGCACCCGCCTTCAGATGTTCAAGTGCAGGGGGGCTCCGGCCTCTGTGGGCCAGATGTACTGCTGCAGGTTCTGATTTTTAGGCTCAAAAACCTTCTACAGAACACATCCCCCCACACAGTGGGGTGTAGGAGTACGTACAGTTTATGTTCTCGTATGCATTTGGTGTCAAACTGGCGAACACCAAACATAACCGCCTCTTGTGGTAAACTATAAATGTGCTTTCTGAAGCACGAGGAATTAGTGTTAGGTTAACTCTTAAAAGTAGGGATGCACGATATTGGATTTTTGGCCGATATCCGATATGTTAAAACTTATTTGGCTGATAACTGATTCCAATACAAATATTTTTTCCTAGTTCTACTTACAGAGACTAGATGGCTTTCAATGCTGTGGAATTAAAATACATTATTCTGCACGATCTTTGTCAATTTGGCCTGCTACTAAATGCAGATGCCAAAAAGGGGGATGGAAATGATGCAACACTTCAACTTGGATTATGTTTAATGTAAAATTTATTTATGACATTTACTCTCTCTAACACAATGAAAAGACTCTAACTGTGAAAAGTTGGACATTTTCACAAATCTAAACTCAACCTATTCACAAACAAATGAAGTGTATAAGTAGTAGTGCATTAATAGATATACTTGACAGTTAAATTAAAAATTAATTTCAAACAGAAGCTTTTTATATCCGTGAGTTATTTTGATGGAATGCCTGATGTGCGATATTTAACTTTAACACTAATATCGGCCCATCCCTGGAGGATTCCTGGAGGGTCACGCCATCTTAGAGCTTTTCCAATCTGGCTTTGAACCTCTCCACAGCACTGAAACTGCCCTGCTGAAGGTTTTTAATGACATCTTCAGATTCACAGATACCGGTGATTCTGTGCTGCTTGTCCTGTTGGACCTCACAGCCGCCTTTGACACCATCGACCATGAGATCCTCATTGCTAGGTTGGAGCAGTGGGTGGGCATCACAGGATCAGCCCTCAATTGGTTCAGATCTTACCTCACTGACAGATCCTTTTGTGTCTCCATCAAGGATTTTAGTTCCGCAGAGGCAGAGCTTAAATGGGGGGTTCCGCAGGGGTCCATCCTGGGTCCCCTCCTATTCTCTTTATACCTGCTACCGCTTGGTGCTATTTTCCAGAAACACAACACGCCCTTCCACTTCTATGCCGATGACTGTCAATTTACTTCCCCCTAAGACACAATGGTACATGCTCTATTCAACCGCTGCTCAACTGCCTGGCTGACATCAGGGACTGGATGGCTTTAAACTTCTTAAGTTTCACTGAAAAGAAGTCTGAAGTCATGTTGTTCCCTCCCAACGACACAATCATAAACCACTGCATCGACCTCTCCGCTCTAATCCTGTCAGAAAAACAAAGAGTCACTAATCTGGGCGTGATAATGGACCCTTCCCTGAAACTTAACAATCATGTAAACATGATCGTTAAATCGTTTCTTCCAGCTGAGGCGGCTGTCTAAACTGAAGCCCATATTGTCCAAAAAGAACCTGGAGACAGTAATACATGCATTCATTACATCTAGGCTTGATTACTGCAATTCGCTCCTGTTTGGTATCAGTCAGACCTCCATTGCACGACTACAATTGGTCCAGAATGCAGCAGCCCGATTTTTAACCAGTGCAGGCAAAAAAGAGCACATTACACCAGTTTTGGCCTCACTGCACTGGTTACCAGTTCACTTTCGAATCCAGTTCAAAATACTCCTGTATGTCTATAAATCACTGAACAGTGTCGTCCCCCCCCCCCCCCCCCCATCTCTCTGATCTGCTACAACCGTATGACCCATCACGCTCCCTGAGGTCAGCGGACCAGTTGCTCCTAACAGTTACAGGAACTCGTCTTAAGTGCAGAGGTGACAGGGCCTTCTCTGTAGCAGGACCAAGACTCTGGAATGAGTTACCTCTGCTTGTCAGACAGGCCCCCTCCCTCTCGGTTTTCAAGTCCCATTTAAAAACTCACTACTATTCAGCAGCTTTCAACACCAGATGATCTGTGTTTTGATCCTGTATGCTCCACACTGGTTTGTCGTCATTATCTGCATCGTTTTTATTCTGATTTACCTCATTTTGTATTTTGCTTTGTGTGTTACCTGTTGTTCTGTCTGTACAGCACTTTGGTTGGCCTTGTAGCTGTTTTAAGTGCTCTATAAATAAAATGGTATGGTATACCGACAATATCGTGCATCTCTACTTAAAAGGCTCAGAAAAGTCACAGGAAGATGATTAAAGCCAGTCAACAAGTCCTGCAGGGTTTAAAGAAACCAGTGCAGCAATGCTCATTTCTAAAAGTTCTTTAACATTTGTGCCATTTAATTCTATCAAAAATCTGACGTCTGTGGGTAAAAACAAAACTTCCTGAACCAAACGGAGGCATCTACAGGTAGTCGTCTCATTTGTTTGAATCTCCAAATGAAACAAAAAAAGTGTCATCTTTTGGTTTATGCCTAAAATTTAGAAAAAGTTCACACATGCACCTAAAACTAGAAAGCTTTTATACAAGCAGCAGCTCACAGGTCACAAGACAAATAGTTTGACCATTAGCCGTCTGTGATGCCGTTTTAGTCATAAATAGGAGTAAATGTTTCAAGACATTCTGCAGGTTCCAACTTTCATAAATACACCAATAAGGGCT